ATAATATTACTCCTAATGTGCGCCACTTACATTTTCATTGCTTATTCTGATTATTTTTGTGCTTCTTATTCGTGTTAAATGACAGGATACTTTCCCTTCACAGAGCTCAGCCTGTGTGGGGCTTTCCTCTGGGGAAGTGCTCCCTTGATGGCCAACACAGCCAAACAACTACTTTGATAAGGAACATACAACAATGAAGGGCCATCCGGAGTTCTCGTCCGTGTTTGTAAGTAGTTCTACAAGAATAACATCCTCTCCCAACAGCCCAGGCCCGGCACACTGCCTTCTTGCCCCAGCTCTGGCTCCCCCTAGCAGTCCCTCCATATTTCCTTGTTACTGCACACCATAATGCCCTGACCCTCCCTGATCTATTATACAGTAAAAACACCAAAATACATCTTAAAACCTAAATTTCTCTGTCTAAATGATGACTATAGAGGCTCTACTTGCCTTCCAGCCAACATTAGGCACCATTGGCCACATCAGAACAGAGGATTGCTTACCTTTCAGACAGTGGCTCTAACTATACCTCCCTCTCCAAAGTCCCAACCTCGACAGCCTCCTTCTTCTTCCCAGCAATCCCTGCAAAAAGGACACTTCCATGTCTGTAGCTCATGTAGGGGTGAACAAATTTGACAAAATCATTTCTAAAAAGCCCAGAAAGTCCCCCAAATCTAAAAATGGCCATTTGGGCCCTAAATAAACATGACCTCCAATAACCTATTATAAAATAATTTAAAAAATGGCATTAAAAGGTAAAACCCCCTCCTCAGAAATATACTGTTCTACCCCTATGGTTTCAACTTATTTTGGTCCATCCAGTAGTCATACAGTTAATACTGAACAGGGATTGTCCGTGAGTGCGCAACTGAACTCTTAGGAACTTGCTGCTGCTTTTCGTGCGTTTGGCAAGTCATGGAGCATCTCTGAGAGGCTACACAGACTCCATTGGTGGGATTAATTGGTAAAACGTACCCTTTTCTTATGGACTAGATCAAAAGAATCCGAAGAAAAATATTTTCACGTGAATAAAATCCAACAAAGCCAAAAGTGAGCCGCGAATCCAAATGGACATCTCCAAAAGTGCACAGGTGTATCCAAATGCTCAGGGAGCTCTCAAGAGGCCACAGGAGTATAAAAGAAAATTGTATCCAGCGTAAAAGGTAAATATAATCCTAAATATAACCAACATTTGCCAAATGTGCATAGAAATTAAAAGTTGCATTTTAAAAATGTCCAATTTAAAGTCTACTAAAAAAGTGAAGGGCATTCAGAAAGATGCTCCAAAATGCGCAATGGCACTGTCGACAATATTTTTTTAATCTAACTTATTTATATACATAATTTATTGAAAAATACATTTGTTATTACTGACAGCACCGTAGAACATGTTTTTAAATGTAGATGAGCGCCTGTCTGACCAACAAGGGCTGTCTAGCAGACAAAAGCCTGAGGTATTGGCGCTCCCATTCAGTGCGCCAAAGTAATCGTGTATAGTTATGATTTGGTCCTTCATGCGGCCTTAAATAAGAATAAATGGAAACCTTAGGCACAAAAAACGTGCAGCCAAATCCGGTGAATCCTTTGGTGTGAGGACCAGCCTGCTGCGC